ATATTATATTATATTATATTATATTATATTATATTATATTATATTATTATATGTAAATATATGGCAGGCAGCTGTAACTGTCTACCAAAATAATTATATTATTGTACAGAAGTGAAGTGGACTGAAGCCTCAGAAGCTGTTATTTTAAGTGATGCTTTAGTCCAGGGGTGTCAAAGTGGCAGCCCACGGGCTGGATGCATCACACACAGGCCACACCCACCCCAGCTCCGCCAAGGGAAAAAACATTGCGATATATCACGTGATAACATGACGTGGCTTGTTCGACACCCGTGCTTTAGTCCAATGGAGATCCAATTCATAAAATAGCAAGATGAATTGAGATCAAAATCTTAGAACCAGAGTTGGTGATGGATCCAAAAAGGGCAACGCGGTGGCTCAGCGGTTAAGACTTTAGGCTTGTCAGTGGAAAGTCAGGTTCGAAACCTAAGCACCACATGATGGGGTGAGCTCACCCCAGCTCCTGCCAACCTAACAGTTTGGAAGCATGCAAATTTGACTAGATAAACAGGTACCACTTCAGTGGGAAGTAACGGTGCCTCGTGATGTCAGGCTGGCCACATGACTGCAGAGATGTTTTTGGATAACAAAGACCACACCTAGAATACTGCATCCAGTTTTGGTCACACTATAAAAAAGATGCTGAGATTCTAAAAAGAGTCGGAGAAGGGCAGCAGACATGATTAGGAGCTAGAGGCTAAAATATACGAGGAACGGTTGCAGGAACTGGGCATGGTTAGTCTAGTGAAGATAAGGACAAGGGGAGATGTGATAGCAATGTTCCAATATTTGAGGGGCTGTCACAGAGAGGAAAGCGGTCAACCTATTTTCTAAAGCACCCGAAGGCCAGAGAAGGAATAATGGATGGAAACTGATCAAGGAGAGATTCAACCTAGAAATAAGGAGAAATTTTCTGACAGAACAATCAATCAGTAGAACAGCTTGCCCTCTGAAGTTGGAGCTTCATCACTGGAGGCTTTCAAGAAGAGACTGGACTGCCATCTGTCAGAAATAGTATAGGGTCTCCTGCTTGGGCAGGTGGTTGGACTAGATTGACCTATAAGGACCCTTCCAACTCTGTTAATCTGTTAAACAAGTATGAAGCATATTATCATATCAATTTCACTAGTTGCAATAAAATTATTGAACAAATTTGGAATAATTGAAGGCATATTGATTTATTTGATATGAGGGTAGGCATCACTCCTACTGTTATCTGTGCCTTAGACATATCTGAGATCTGACCATTACCTCAATCATCTGAATCTTCCTTGCAAGTTATGTTGCTTTCTCTATCAAAAAGTAAGATTGCCTTGAACTGAGTTGGACACATCCATGTTTTTTCTTGGCAACCATATAAAATGACTTGGCATTTGCTTCTTCTAGGTTTTTTATTTTTCCATTTTTTTGAATTATTGTTTGGATTCCCTGATAAGCACTCTTTTAAGCTCTTAACTAGGGTCAATCTTGCTTAGTTCAACCCCAAGATCAAATAAAACCAATGAGGTGCTGCAACATTTGTTGTAAGAGAGGGGGAAAAAAAGCAAAGCTGAGTAGGTGCGTTGTTATGAATATGTGTGATTATAATAATATTTTATTTAAAATGTTGATCTGTGGAACAAAGCAAAATTTGTATCAAAAAATAATATAAGCACCCTGCTTATGTTCTTATACTATTTTCTTAGATATCAAGTGGGTGGGTATATAAATTCAATAACAAATAAATAGAGAAATAAATAGAGGAAGGAAGGAAGGAAAAGAAAGAAAGAAAGAAAGGAAAGAGAAAGAAAGAAGAAAGAACATGTAGTAAGAAAAAGATTTTTCTGCCTCTTCTTTTTGTAAGAACATAAGAACTTAAATAATTGGATCCAATTCTGGTCTTGTCCTTTACTCAGAAATCTCTTATAACCACCACTTGCTCCAAATCTTTTCATATTTAGAAAATTTATTTAAGCATTTGTACTTCACTTTTTTGAATACCGTGCACTTTAAGAAGCAACTAAAAAAATGACAAAAATACAGGAGCATTCAAAGAAATTGCTTTTCTATCAAGCACTTTATGTCAGATACTGGATCAGGAACTTCATGGTCTGACGTGAAAACAGTTGCAGTATTTGGAGCCATATGATTGGTTGAGTGATTCTGTTTAACGAGGGGCAACACTGAGTTGGTAGGATTTGGGAGCAACTGTCAGAAATCCAGTTGTTGGTGATGTATCAAGGTCACCAGGATCCCCCAATGGTTTCAGAGTAAAATGCTGCAAAATAGTTGTCAGGAGGATAAATATCATGATGTCTATTAATTTCTTGCCGAGACAACCCCGCTTGCCTGCAAGCAAAAATGAGGAGAGAGTAATTGATTTGTGGTAGCTTGCTTAAAAGAGTAAAATGTCCAACAATGGGGATATCAGATATAACAAACTTAATACAGGGGGAAGCCCCAGGCATTTAATAGCTATTTTTGACATTTAAGATAATCCTTTCTACATTCATTTGGAGCTATTTTTCTATTTCTGCTTTCAAAAATGTGAATAAAATATACAATTGATCTAGAAAAACCATAAGCATTAACCTTGATTTCAGCTCTAAAATTAGGATATCTATACCTGTCGAAAAAGGGATGAAGAATTCACTCTTTCTCAGAGCTCCCTTTTTGTCCAAGAAGTGACCAACATCAAATTGTTGTGGGTTAGGGAATTCTCTACTGTCATACAAAGAGGACTTCAGAGCCGGAAATACAGTAGTTCCCTAGTTAGACAATGACAAGTTCAGTGTTGGAGAGATTCTTTTCCAAGAAACAAAGAGAAAAACATTCTGATAGAAATGCACATACGTCCCTCTTTGTGCTAGAGTAGTTGATTTGGGGATTGATACCCCTCTAAAACCAATAATATACATCACTGATGCTTTGATATGTATTCTAGAATAATCCTGACTATAACCAGCAGAATTCTTAATAAGCAGACCCAAGAAAGAATTGTGGGAGTTTCAGCTCAACCAGCAGCATAGTGTATACCAGGATGGAATGTTATTATTCTAAGATAAATAAAATTGTACTGGGTAGAATTGCTGTGATGCCTAAGAATGAGTAGGATAATTCCAGGTATGTAATATGAGAGGCCTGAGATTCGTGTTTTAGGTATCCCATAGAAACAGCTCTCTTCATAGTAGTTACTACCAGCCTTTGTGAAATTACAGCCCTCAAAAGCTTCTTTTGAATCCTGTAGCAAGGACTATGTGGATATAAACATAGGGAACCCACCAGCCATTCCTAGTGATGCATTGGGACTGGATGCAGCCATAGTGAGGTATTACACTGATGTGAATAGTTCATGTACCAATAGTGTTAAATATTTCTGTTACAAGTGCATGGAATTCTTACTGAGAATCAGCCCTCCTTCATCTAAAATCACACATATATTTTCTGGGACTGCAACTCCCAGAATTCTTTTGGGAGTGCATCTACCAGTCTGTGAAATAATGCCCTATGGCAGAGTGACACAATTTGTGGCTGAAGCCTGGGGAACAGGCCCCTCTTCAGTCAACAGGAGTGCTGATTTACCATCAGCCTATCAAGTACTTGACTGGGCAGCAGGAGCAAAGGACACCTAATGACTTAAAAGCCAGCCATCAACACATCCCAATCAACATCTAAAAAGATACCACAGGCACTATAAATACCACATACAGAACAGCACATGGTTCTGCTAGACTGCTAGAGAGAAGTTCCCTGAAGATAGGCTCCAGCACTACTAGGCTGAAAGCTTGGAAGATAAAACCTCTAGTCCCGGTGACTGACCCAGATTGGATCCTGCAACAATTATCCAGGGACACATATTCGCTTTCATTCG